CACAGTCTGGGTCCTCATTTCACCCACCTCGGAAGGATGGAAGGCTGAGTCAACCCTGAGCCGATGAGATTTGAACAGCCAAACTGCAGAACTGCAGTCAGCTGAAGTAGCCTGCAGTGCTGCATTTAACCACTGCACCACCTTGGCTCAATGTTAACCCAAATTCTGCAGAAAGCTGTATACCTGTATTTACAATTAAAATTCTCCTATAAATTTCTAATCATAGCAAAGATAGTATTTTCTTTTGATTACACACACATGCACACACACACACACATACACACAATAAAATTGCAAGCTAGGATAAAGGATAGTACTGTTCTTTATTAAGAGATACCAAAAGGAATGCATTATTGTCCCACTCCGTTTTGGGGCTCAAATAGGCTGTCTATGGTGAAAATCAGGTAATATTATCTGGATCATGGAACAAGTAGGTTAGTCATCATCTTGAATGAGTGTCCACCAGGCTTCAGATCTTTGGCATCACCTGCAGCAGATTTAGATGAGGAAGAACATGGGAACAGCTCTACTTTCTCTTACCACCTAAATCTTCATATAGGAGTCAAATAGATGTCCTAAGGATATTTACTAAGGGAGTTTACATAACGGCAGTGTCCGGCAGTTCTATTTATTCCACAGAATCAAGATGCATGGTCCTGAATGTGAGATTTGTGCCTTTGCCTTGTAGTGTACATTATCTTAATGAACTCATGTCCTTTTAAAAAAAGCCTTTTATGTGCACCATGTGAGACAATATTCCAGGTTTAATCTTGATGCATTTGGTTTTGCTTATTGCTCACCAATTCCAACTGGGGATAATCTGCTAACTTTCTTTCTGCAGCACTTGTGATAAACATCTTCCAAACTAGTAAACAAATAGAGCAAAAAATCTTCAGGTGTGTTAGAAAATAAAATAGGCCATAACATTTTTTTTTTGGGGGGGGGGAATGGAACGTTGTGGTTGTAGGCCTTGGAGTTCCTCTTGTTTCAAAACCACTTGGTTTGCAAAGACTTGCAGTTCCAATCTCACAAAGATTCCCTTCCAATGCAAACAGTGTCTACCATAAAATGTCTGCAAAATGCGGACAAAATATCTTGGCCTTTCCTAAACTGTGACTTAGGAAAGGCAGTAAATTTTTTTCTCCCTAAACTTTGATTCTCAGAGAGCAGTTGATTGCTTGATGCTGTGGAAACTGACACGAGTTGGGGATGTAGGAATGGACATGGCCCTTGCTACTCGGGCACGGATGGAGTGTTTGTCCTGCCATCGGTGCCATCTCTTTCGTACTGCAGAACGGACCTAAAAAATAATAACAAAAAAATAAAAATAAACATTATTAGTTCCCAATTTCTCCTTTGAAAGGAAATCCAGATTGAATGAAGACGTAAGGCCATTCTAGATTTATTGTAGCAGCCTTGGGTGGTCTCGTGAGTTTTGGAAGCATTTCAACCCAAAATATGATCACATTGATTGAAGATGATGAAATTTATTTTACAGTAAAAACCCCAAAGGCCAGGGCTTTTAGATCACAATCTGTACAAAAATAGTAAAAGGTGTATTGTGAATCCTTATCATTCAGAAGCACAAAACCACAGTATAATCTGTAATGAGTGTCTTTATCAAAAAGAAATGTATGAAGTGTCCACATGTGAAAAATTCTTATTTTCTCAGGATACTTATGCAAATAACTAAAGAAATTTTGTTTAATTAATGTTGGCTGACGATTCTGAAAGAAAAAACAATCTTCCAGAGAAAATTTCAGTCCCAGAAATCACATTCCTGAGGATTCTCTGCAGCAATGGTAAGTTTACTCATTAATTCACCTAAAGTTGGTTATACAACAAGTGGGTCCTTTGAGATAAAATAGATATCATAGCATATTTTCCAGCTGATTAAAAATGATGATAGAAGTAGGATCCAATTTGAAAAAATAAAATAAAAGATTTGCTGTATCACAAACAATGGCTGAAATTGATTTCTTGATAACTAAGCTGTAGGGAGGCAAGATACAGAAGGAAGAAAAAGTTCTTGCCCTTTAAGTTTGACACAGATATTCTTCAGGAATAAGTGTTCCTTGTTCAGACATAAAACTATCAGTGTGCAGTTTATCTTATTTTGATTTTCTTTAGGCCAATTTTGCATGCTAATTTACCATTCTGGTTGAGAATTCCCATATAATACAAGATTGAAAAGGACTATTCTAGACATTATATCAATCTTAAAAGCTGGAAACAAAATATTTGGAGAGGAAAAAACTCAAGGAACTCTTCTCATCTTAAAATTGTTTTCAATTTTTTAAAAAAGTTTTCATTTATATCTTCACCTTGCAATTGTCTAAAAAGTATTAAAGATATGCCTTAATTTAATAATGGTGTTAAATTTATCATATTTATGCCAACCAGAATGTCCTTAGAGATCATTATCTTCAAAGGGTTCCACAAAAAGAACATTTAAATTCTAAAAGACAATTGAATTTAAATTTCAAAAATTAAACCAACATTTGAAACTTCAAAAGATTAATTTCTTCCTACTTCCTTTGCTATATTCTGAGTTTTATGAATCTAAAATAGTAGCTCTCAATTGTGTCAAAGAAAGCTTAGACTATTTAAAAAAAAAGATATCCTTAGTGGCATGCAAGGTAATAACCAACCTCTTTTTTCCTTCATTTCCAACCCTAACTCACCTCACTGTTCAGGAAACAGTAGAAAACAGAGACAAAAAAGCCCTGGATGGAGAATAAAAAAGATGATGGAATCAGTTACCATTTAGAGAAGAGAAACAAATTGCCATAATTCCGCCCCCCCCCCAGGCTTTCTATGAAACAGATTGAATGATTAATGTCTTTCAACAAACACATACTAGCATTCATGTCTCTAATCTAAAAATCTGCTCTACAACCTGACTTGTCTTCTGTCTATTATCTAATAGGGTAAGCGGGCTTTCTCCTGGATTCTCCTTGCTTGCACATTGCCAATCTCTGAATTTTTTACATTTATCAGGCGATTTGGACTAGAGATACAACACATTTCTCCCAGGAAAACGGACTGTAGTTAACTCAAAGAATGGGGTTCATTGTGCCCATGTTTAATAACTGAATTTGTAATAAAAATAGACATCTGAGGCCTCCAGTGCCTTGAACACAACCTGCAAATTGGTTCTCGCCATTGAAAATCTCACTGAATTGAAATTTTAGTGTCATAAAGGATATCATTCATTTCTTGGTGAGTTTTCCGCTATTTGCATTTTTAAAATGTTGTTACATTTAAATTAAATAGAAATTCAAACACTTTTAGCTTTTGGCTATGTCAACCTTTTAGCAAGTGGTTTTCCTTCAATTATGTTGATGTGCTTTCCCCATTCCTTGAAGCAGGAGGAAAGTGTGTGAAAAACTGCTCCTGAAGCTTATCTTTTATCAGACCAAAGTACACAAAGGTGGAGGAGCAACATGTTAAATAAATACATAAAAAACACCTTTAATATGATATTCATATACCTTATAAATAATATCACTGAAAAATCTGATCTACGTTAATGCCATGTTTCCAGCCTCCCTTCTAACTCATTTCAGCTCTGATTTTTGTGAGGTTTGCCTACCTGGAAGGACTCCAAAAGGGAGTTGAAGTAAATGAAGACTATCCTGGATATTTCATCTTCTCCAGGGTTAACAAAGAAAAGCATGTAGGTTATTCCTAATAATGGAAGGAGCACAAGGGTGGCCTTCACCGCTTTCCTAAAGGAAGAGGATACATGTTACCATCCAGACTATAACAAAGAATAGGATAGGACAGGACAGGACAACAGAGCAGAATAACAACAACACAGCACAGAATAACACAGAATCTTTATTGTCACTTTAAATGTACACTAATCAGCATACATTAAAATGAAATTTTGTTACATTCAGCTCTCAAAAGATAATCATTATGCATATATCCACATACATACATATATATGACACAGAAACATCAGAGTCTAGTTCAAATATATATATATATATGAAAAAAAGAATCCTGAGAGTTTACAAGAAGAATGGCATGTTACAGAACCTAGTAGTCCTTCTATAGATACTTCAAAATCTCCCAGAGGGGAGCAACAGAAACAGACCATGAAATGGATTGGGGGGGGTGTCTTAACAATGCTTCGAGCTCTAAGCACATAGCGCTTATAAGCAGTATCCTGAATAACAGGAAGCGAGCTTCCTATAATCTTCTTGGCTGTCCTTACCACTCTCTGTATGGACCTCCTATCTGAGGCACTGCTGCCACCAAATCAAACAATGGTGCAATTTGTTAAAATGCTTTCAGTTGTGCGTCTGCAACAAGTGGCTTGGACATAAGGAGAAAGTGGTCTCCTCATCCAACGCAGGAAATGCAAATGCTGGTTGTATGCTTCACTAAAGATAACACATGAAGAGACCAAGTCAGATTGTTATTTATCTGCACCTCAGATATATAAATTGGCTTCCACCCAATAAAACTTGATTTGACCTAGTACTGAATCCTACTTCAGTGCTGGCAGTGAGCCATTATTCTCTGTCCTCTCAAAGCAGTAGATTAGTAGGGGTGTTGGTTTGGTATGCTTTCTCCCAAATGCACTGTTGCCTCCCATTTACTCTGCTGACTTTCCTCTCCTGCATGCTCCCTCTTGAAGCAGATATTTCAGTCATAATCTTGGTTTTGTTTTAATTTAATTTAATTTACTTTATTTGTATGCCGCCCTTTTCCCTGAGGGACAGGCCTTCTTATAACCCTCTATCTATTTCCTATTTTTGCACTGCTCCTTCCGATCTAGGTTAATACCTGTACTGTATGGTCTCTGAGGTGGTTGAAGCCCGAAGCTTGGTCATCAGGATTCTGACAATATTGAATAAAAAAATAAAATTGATCTGGAACAGAAACAGAAATCAATTTGAGACTGTTAAAATAACTGGGCAAGGAGAGTTTTATACCATAAATTAAAGTTATCCCCTAAATGAATCCATTATAGAGTGTAGAAGAGTTGGAATAGTATTCAAACACCATTATCCTGTTCTTACTTGTACTTTATATCATTTTTATATTGCTTACTAATCCTTACATTTTTTTTTCCCAGCAAGACACTTAGGATTAATCCCATCAGGTACAAAATGCTTAAAAAATAAATAAATAGACAATCTCCACACCCCAATTTTTCAAAATTGCAGCATGTTATTTATAGAAAATGTTCTGAAAATGGGAAGACTTAGAGCAGCTTAGAAAAGTTTTGTAATTATCACAGTGCAACCATTTCATCAGATTACATTACTTATTGGACTCAGATATATCTCAGATTCAAGGTGTAAAGTTCAGGAACAGTCAAATAATAAGTTATTGAATTCTTATTTGAATTCTTATTGAATTCATTGATTGAATTCTTATTTAAATCATGGACTTTCTGAACATCTGATACACATACACACAGATCTTCAAGCTGTAATGGCTCCATATCAATCTGCATAGTAACCAATGAGTATTTGTCTTATCATGGTGTATAATAAATGTCCTATAGGGATCCTCACTTGAGCATTGCCATGTGCTCAGTTCATCCTGGTTCCATCCTGCTACAATCATATATTTATATTTTCATTTAAGAAATGCAGCCTAGTTTCCAACTCTCAGAGAATGTGCATGGCATGTCTTGAAAATACATTTTATACATTGTTTTAAAGTTTCCAATGTAGTAACAAACTATTCTTTTTTAATTTTAATTTTTAATCTCTTTCATTCTCTGCCACTGGGAGGAGCAATTTTCTCAACTATTTAAAGCAAGAAGGAGATAGATTTATTTGTCATGAATTTATCAAAGGTACTTTTCTTCCCTTGGAAGTGTTTTGGTATAAAATTAGAAAATTCAGTTTGTATTTTTATATTCTGTTACTAACCAATGGAAAACTAGAGGCCTCTGTTCAATTCAACATTGGCTTCATTCCATAGTTATATTGTTGGGTTGGTATTTGTGCTAACATTAGAGAGAGTACTATTATTGCATCAGCTGTTATTTACTTTCTAATCTTATACTGATTTTTATTCATTTATTTTATTACACATTTGCCCTTTTTCTATCAATGATTCTGAGCAGCTCACAACTAGATAAAAACAATATATAATATTAAAATGATAAATATTAACATCAAAATAGATAAGATAGCTAAGGAAGGAACCAGTATATACTGGAGTGGAAGTGAAGTTTTTTTTTTTAAAAAAAACAACATTAACCATCTCTTTATAGAATGCCCCCATACAGAGATGGGATGTGGAGACCCAGACCAATCGGCACTATATTAATTCAATATTATGCAATAACGTTCATATATTTCTTTCTTTTAAGTGCCTCCTCCCCCTGCCTGAGTCTTTAGCACATCATCATTGCTGTACGTCTTTGTTGTGCATTTATGAGTATGCAATACAACAAAAGCTGAACTGACTGTTTTTATTAGTATCAGCTTGAGCATAGAACAAAAAGTTTATTGCATATGACTTCAATCCTTATATAAGAAATTTTTAACTATATTTTTAAGCTTTAAGAATTCAATATAAGCAGTAAATAGCAAGGCAAGTTTGGGGGCTTTAGAAAGTTTTAAATAGATTAAAGGCTCAGAGAAAGTTGGAATATTTTATTTTGAATAATAAGAGTTTGAAATTAATTTTAAAGAATAAATGCATAAATATTTTCAATATTGGCGATATAACATGATAAGCAGCTTGTAATAGGATTGAGAAAATTTGTTGAGGAATGGGCAACTGGACTTTGAATCAACAGTTTTAGTTAGATTGTGTTTTTAATGAACATTTTGTTCCCAGAAAAAGTTGTTACACCAGAGGAGGCTGATATAGAGGGGTGGGAAGAAGAAAAACAATTATCTGACATGATTATGAAGAATAACATGAACAGGAATTTATCATTAGATATGAAAAAATGGATTTATAAAAATTAAAAAATACAAATATTTTTATTAAAAATAAAAAGGTCAAGAGAGTAGTTGGAATAATTTGTTCCTGCTTGAAATTACAAAAAGGCTTGTTATAGTTTTGACGAAATTAGAAACAAGGGATAATGATCATTCAAATGGATTAAAGAGCAAGATGATTTTTATGTAAAAATAAGGATTATAAAGTTGGCTTATTTGATTAGTGTTAAAATGGGGTATGTTGTTACTTGGGGATATTATTTCTGGAATTGTTGACATCTGGACTGGAAAAGATGTTCATTCTGATTTTCTTACAGACAGAATGTTATGCTTGTTAATTAATGTGATTATTTTAGAGATCTGTTTTGACTTCTT